GAGTGCACCCTCCCTGGCCACCCAGAGGGCCCATCTGTGACACCCTCTCCCAGCATCAACACACAGGGAGTGGAGGCATGGGCATGGTTGTGAATCCCACTTCTTCAGGCCTGCTCGGGGGTGTCAGGTTAGTGGGGTGAGCACGCTGGGAAGAGGGAGGGAGGTGGCTCTCAGGAGGGAGCATCAGCATCCACAACCAGCTCCTACAGCGAGGCTGCTTTGGTCTCGCTGAGGCTGAAAAGGACCAGTGACCTCTGGGCACTTGGTGGTGATGCAGATTCTCAGGAAGCCCCACCCCAGAGCCCCTGAGCCAGAAACCCAGGGTCCATCCTGTGTCTAGGCAGCCCAGGTGAGCGTGAGGCAGACAGCCGTCTGAGAAGCACGCATCAGACCATGAACTTGAGGGCAGGACTTTGGTTTCTCTTCAGCCCCCGGCGCACAGTGCTCTGTAGACAGAAACAGAAATGATGGGAGGCAGAGACCATGTACACATTGCCTTCAGGACCACCCACCTGACTAGGCACCTAGCGAATATGTGAGAAAACTTGCTGATGAACTGGTTTACTTTGTGTTTTTTTTTGGGGGGGGGGAAGCAGGCATCATGTGTGCTGCCTAACACAGAGTACACGGTCAGTACATATCTACTGAACAAATAGTCTGTATTCTGTGTCACCAGGCTCTACTAATGCAGGCCAGAGAATTCGCTATGTGGCTGGAGAAAGTTCCACTGTGTATGCTTAAGGGGAAGGAGACAATTACTAAAATCCTCCAAGGGTCTCAACTGTCAGGCGGTGACTTCAGCCGGTGCACGGAGGCAACAGCTCAGGAACAGGTGCACGTGCAGCTTCAGGAAAGCTACACGGAGACACGAGGGTTTCCTAAAGCCGCTGACATCCAGGGGTCAGAGCTGCAGAGCAGCGCTCTGCAAATTCGCGCTGCGGGCCAACTCCAGCTCGCCACCCTTCTTTTGTTTTTGTTAATCCTGACCCAAGGATATTTTTTCATTGATTTTTATAGGAAGTGGAAGGGGTTAAGGGAGGGGCATAGAGAGAGAAACATCAGTGTGAGAGAGACACAATGACTGGTTGCCTCCTGCACATGCCCTGACCAAGACTGGTGGATCGAGCTTGCAACTGAGGCACATGCCCTTGACTGGAATCGAACTTGGGACCCTACAGTCCATGGGCTGATGCTCTAACCACTGATACAAACCGGCTAGGACTTGCCACTCATTTTTGTATGGCCTGTGAGCTAAGCAGTCTTTACATTTTTTAATGATTAAAACAAAATATTTTTAAAGAAGAGACTTTTGTGAAAACTCTATAGAATTCAAAGGACAATGTCCACAAGTAAAATGTCATTGGAGCACAGCCCTGCCCGTTTATTGACAGATGGCCTAGGACCGCCTCCTGCCCAGCGGCTGCGTAGAGTAACTGCACAGACACTGCACGGCCCAGGCCCTCCATGTTGGCCTTTCTGCCCACTCCCTGCACAGATGGAGAGAACAGCCTCCCAGGTCTGGGCGGGCTGCCAGCACAGTCACTTTCTGGCTAGTGGTTATGTTCCCCATCCAAGCCAGCTCTGCGGCCAGGTGGCGCCAGCCTTACCCCACCCCTCTCTGTGAAGTTGCTGTCCAGGTCTCTCCTCTGGTCCAGGTCCATCTGAGGGGAGAGAG